TAATTATAAATCTACTAATTATAAAATTTATATACAAAATAACAAAGAAAATAAAAATAAAAAATGATAAAAAAAATTAAAATAAATAAATAAATAAACAAAATAATTTTCCTATTATTAAAAAAACAGTAAAAAATAAAAACCTTTTTCTATTTAAATTTTTGTAAATAATTTTACTAAATTATAATTCATATTTTAATCTAAAATTACAATAATTTTGCAAATATATAAAAGGAACATTTGTGCAATTATATTAAGTCATTTTAGTAAAATTGCTCATTTTATTGTTTCCTTTACTTAATTGCCACTAGCCAATTTCATTTTCTCAGATTTTTAACTTTCATATCTAGAAGAAATGAAAAAAAAAATTGAAAAAAAAATTTCTAATCTAAGATTAGAACTCGTTTCTCATTCTAAATTGAAATTTTAGAAATAGCATCGTTTAGATTAACTGCACACAAATCGACATTTTCATCCAATATGAATCTACTTTCTCCTCCCTCTTACAAAAATATATACTTTTTTTTTCTATTCTAAATATTATGAATTAAAATAATTTTACTTATTAAATTGTTTTAAAAATTCTATTATTAATATATTTTTGAATCAAAATTTGTATGTTAAAGTGAGAAAATTTACGTATAAATTCTTATTTGTTGACTTTAATTAGCACTCATTTTTTATTGAATAATACAAGGGGAAATTTTTAAAATATTAAATAACGTTTAATTGTATGTTTTTTTTAATTTTTTAGGATGTTATATTTTTAATTAAATCAATAAATTGCATAAAAGTTTTTCGTTTTTATGTTAATTAATTGTAGAAAAATTAAAATATTTTTTTATGAATTAATACATTAAAATACATAAATTTTACTTTACAATTATTTTATTAATTATAATTACTAAAATTTATCATTTCATAAATATTAGAATTTATGAAATTTTAATCAAATCAATAAAATTTTTTGCTACTTGTAATTTTTAATATACATCTTTCTTGAGTGAATTAATCTTTCCTTAATTGTGATTATTTTACAAATATTACAACAAAATTTTAAAAAAATAATTCGTAAATTTACACAAAATTCTATTTTTTATCATTAATATTTTTAAAAAGACACATTTCTATAGCTTCTTTCTTGAAATGCCATATTCCTGAACACGAGAATATGGCATCTGAAAGAGCAAAGAAGGGATTGGGATTGATGACATCAGGCAACGCAACACTTGGGCGATCTGCCAAAGACAACGTGCCTCCTGGATGGACTTTATAGGAAACTGGCTCCTATATAGGTGTAAGACACGTGGATAAAACTTGGAAAACACTACGTGGCCAGCGTGTTAGTCAGATGCGAACCCACGACGAACTGATGTTCGGTAGTGTTAGCCACTTGGTCATTGGTGGAGGAACAAAGAAGGGGCAACAATATGGAAAAAATAGAGAGAGAAATTCGTTTTCTATTTCTTTAGTCAACATATATTTATTTATTTATTAAATATTGGAAAGTTTTGCTTCTTTTGTGATGCTTAGAAGAGGACACCCCATGTAGATTATTTTGGTTTCCCTAGATACGTTAGATAAACTACCCTATCTATGATATTCTCATCATATAGATTGGGTCCATGGCCATACATGCTGCATACTATAATAAAAATTGTGTCTATGCTTTAATATTAATTTTTACAACAATACATGAAATATGTATCCAAAAAATTTAATTTAAAAGAATTTCAGTAATTTTTTTTACACGAAACTAGATCAAACTTTTATACAATATTAACATAAAAATAGTTATTTAAAAAGTTCTGGTTTTCTTTGTAATTTTATATTTAAAATTTTTAGTAGATTATAAGTCACATCTTAATAATATTAAACAAATAACAAAAATATTTTGTTCGATTAGACATAAATTTAATCAAAATATAGAAATTTACAGAATTTGATATTCAAAACAATATCTTTTTCTATATGCATTTAATTTTGAAAATTGAAAATACTATCATTTTCTTTAATGAGGTATTGAAACAGGATTGTTACAGATCAAGAAAAATATGTGTTTTAATAGAAGAAAAACAAAATAGTCAGAATCTTCTTAGCAAACTCCGTTTAGACAATACATTGTAATTCAACACAAACAATGTCTAGATTAATTTCTTTACAGTCAATGATTACAGTATACGAACAAATTCTGATCAAATTGTTGCTATAAGATGAAACAAAGACCTGTTTGAACTAGTAATTCTTTCAGTTAGGAAAACCAAACCAAATTATAAGGTAGAAATACAATTATTGACTATTATCTTTATCCATGACTCTCTTATTATTGACTAGAGCAGATGTTAAATCTCATTTTCTTTACTCCTTTCACTTTTACAAGACACCTGCCACCTATAATATATCAAAACAGTTTAATGATTATTTTTTATTATTGTTTTATCCATAAAAATATATTTTTTCGTATTTATTTTATTACCAATATCGTGTCTTTCGAAATTTTTATTATAGGTACTACGTGCAAAAAGACTCGAAAAGTTGAAAGAAAAAGGATTAACTTAAACTGTAAACCTATAGATTGACTACAGAATAATGTTTTACTCTATATAAAAAATTCTATAAGATATTAAATAAGTTATAAAACACTATTTTTCGCTTTAGAATTAACTACTACTAATACGGAATGTTCCAATATATTAAATTGACGTTTGTAGAACTGCTCTATATCACCTTCAAAACATTGAACAAGACATTTTGTGAATCTCACCCTTTAAAATCCAACTCCATGAAATTCTAATACCCTTCTTTGGATGTGAAACCTTTACTAGAAAGGGGGGAAACGTTTGCTCCTTGGTGTCAACTCATCTATATTTCAAAAGAATTGACAATTGATTTTTCTATCTGACTGAAAGACCTATGTTCTGTTTAAATGATACGACAATTTGCCAAACCTTTCCTGCCTTCTAACTAAATTTTTTCTTTATTTATATAATTTATATTTAATATAATAAATTAATTTGTATACAAATGCAATTAACAGTCGTGTACACTGTCTTGGTAAGAATTTTATATTTATCAATCAATTTTTAGATATAAAAAGCATTAATAAACCCTAAAAATTTAATCTAATAATATATTCAAAAAATACATGCCCTAACATCAACACTGTTAGATTCTCAATACCTGTCTAAACTTCTTACCTATGTTACACTCTATATTTTAACAAGACCTCCATTGAATTTACAATTTTTCGTATTTCGAATTTTCTCTTCGTAATTTAGTTTTCGCTTTATTGTTTTCTATTGCCTATGTTTTCTATGAATTCTTTACTACTCTTCTCCGATCCAATTACTTCAATACACGAAGGAAAACCCTATACAATTTTTATTTTCTGAAGTTGAAAAGTTGATTCTGTTTTCATGTTTTAAAGTACTAAATATATTACCAAAATATCTAGAAATATTGTTTATATTATCATCTAAATAACATAATACATATACTGTATATATATATTTTTTTTCTTTTCCTTAGTTTATGTATATAAATATTGATCAAATTTGCCATTTTTTTTCTTATCTTTGTTCTTTTTTTCTAGTTTTATTTTATTTAAATAAAGAATTTAATAATATTCATTTAAAATAGTAAAAACAGTTAAATTTTTGAGACAAAAATTATTTAAATTTCGATAAAATTTAAAAATAAATAGAATTAAAAACAAAAAGCATTTATTACTTTTTATCGAATTATTTATTAAAAATAAATATAAAAATACTAAAAATACT